CACTTCGTGCGAGCGCACGCTGACCGTACACCTAGCTACTGACGTTTGGTACAAGTTTAGAGAGGTTTGCTCCTTTGTTCGATTTATAGTTAGCATCCTAATTAATCAATGTTTATAGATCATATTTTTGTTATTTTATGATATTGTAATGGAAAAGGAGTTTTATAATCTAATGAATCTATTTTCAGTAAGATTGTCAAGTAGCTCTCTGGATCTTCCGCCGGCGCTGTAGATTTCCGACGTTCACAAATGTTTGCTACAGTCGAGACTATGTAATAAATATTGACTTTTTGTTATCCTTTTTCTTCTCTTTATCGTTATTTGCGTGTATCTATATCACTTTGTTCTCCATACTTGATGACATGTTGTCATCTGAACATTCACTCCTTCACGTTCCATTTTTTCTTCGGTCTTCTTCTTAAGGAGAAGTCTCACAATTATTTTTCTTACATAAGCCTTATTGATATCTTTATTATCCAGTATATTTAACAAAAATAATTTTATATCTTTGTTTACTCTGTAAAATCGGATAAAAATGTTAATCTTGGAGAATAATTTTTCACCATTAACTAGATAGAAAAATAAATAATTTTGTTATCAATCAACACTTAAAGACAACAAAAAAATCTTTGAAACTTGTCTATTTTAGTAATCTGGTTCTATTCTTTATTTTTATTCAATAATTATTTTATGGATTATCGTTATAATAATTCGAATCTTTCTTGTATATGAGCATTTTAAATTGCAAGTCTAATTTGTATGTACTAGATCCGTGATCACTCACATATTAGAATCGCTTAACGCTTACACCTTGCACAACTACAAACGCTCGTGAAAGCGTTAATTCTTATTGTAAACATACCAGATCACGGTAGTGGCTTCAAATGCTTACCGTTGATACACTACTAGTATGTAAGAAGTGTACTTATTCTAAAGCACCGATTCTTAAACTTTTAAGGCAATAAAGTCCACGTCTAAAACAGGATATCAAATTATTTCACGTAAATTACAGCCTACATATTATGAGCTACCTGTACGTGAAGGAATTTTCATGATCAGATACTGATCTGATCTTGAAAAATCTTAATTACTGAATTAAGATCATTGGATCATTAATATAAAAGAACAAAAAAATTAGAAACCTTGCCTACGAAGTGAGAAAATTCTCTTACCATACTGCACTCGTTAAACGTGTATTTCGACTGCTTAGATTTAAGAACACAACCCTGGTGAAGATTTCACAACCAGGGGGCCAATTTTACTAAATTAATTTTGTTTAAATCGAATCAAAAACGGATCGAAACCGAACGAAACTAACAGAAACAAAAATCTGTTCTTGCCACAAAAATTGCTTGCTGAGTTTCTTGCTAGTTCTATTAAAGGTTTTAAGACTGTATGTTAACAGCCAGTATCAAATGAACTATTTTAATTTTGAATGAATAGCTGAACTGAAACATCGAGATGGACAAACAATTTGTCAATATGAAAAAACGATGCCCGGCCGAGGTCATGCGTTCACATTAAACCATAATAAACCGAACCGCACTTTCCGTATCTTATGTCACTTTGTAGAATAGGAAAACCATTAAAAACTGTAGTTTCTTCGGTTTCGATCCGTTTTCGATTCGATTTAAACAAAATTTATTTAGTAGAATTGGCCCCCAGTGACCGGTTGTCAGTTTTCATTATCTTCTCGGATCTAGTACTATACTTGACCTTCCTAATAACTATGAAAGATTAGACTTTTGTACGTTCTTTACTTCATGGCGTGGAAATAAATCGTCGCATTTTGATGAAGATACATAATTACTGGATATATAGCTTGAATTAACATGTAAATTATGTGGATAATTTTTTATCCAATAGTTCAAAAACGTAAACCCGACTACAGCTAAATTATCGCTTAATTCTATTATAACATAGCTATCGCTATAAAATAAATTTCTTGTTTAAAACTTTTCAGAGAGTGATTAGTCGGGTTTAATTTTTTAACTTATTTTTTATTTAAATTAATTTTCAGGAAGCAAACGCTATTTATATATATACATGTATATTTGCTTATGAAATTTGATATCCTACACGGAATGATTGAATGATATATATTTTTTAGTTTCTTACTTTATTCTCTCTAGAGGGCGCTGTTGCCAATTTAATGTAACGTCACATAGCCTTCTAATGATACCTCATTTGTTTAGTTACAATGAGTAATTTCAAAGTTATAAGGTAACAGATGAACATAACGGCCAAAATCATAACTCTCCTTTATGCTTCAGCGTAGTCGGATAAAAAGTTAAGAACTTAACGATAATGTTTCTAAACCCAACTCTAACAAAGTTGCAGATAGAAATTTTAATAAATAATAAGCCTTTATCTTTAATTATATTTCTTTAAGAGAAAGAAATTTCAATTTCATAACTATTTTAAAAAGTTTAAATTTGTGTAATTAAAAAAATCTATGAGATAGGTGATTTATATATCCACAATGACTTCTGCACTGATGCCCTAGGGAATAGCTTAACCTCGTTGTTTATTGCTGTTCTTAAGTATTATTAAGAAAGTGTACTTACACCCGGTTTCTGAATTAAGTATTTAAATACTGAATTCTTTTATTTTATCTTAAGTAAAACACGTCTCAAAACTGTACTTAAACGTCACTTAAACAGGTTTTCGTTTCTGATTTAAGTTTTTTAATGATGCCTTGTGAAACGTAAAAAAGAAACATAACTTATTGAGAATAATCAGTTGAGATTTTGTACTTTTCTCAATTCAAAACAGACCGTTATTGTGCGAAAATTTGTGAAAATAGAAGAGCGCGATCGACCACGTTAATGCAGAAGGCCGCGAATGATGGTCGAAGGAAATAGATATACTTACACCCGGCTCTAGATATACTTACCTAATACGTTTTTGAGATATTACCTTGTCTAACTCTACAAAAATGATGGATCTCTACGAACTATAACTAAATATCAAAATATTGTTAATCCATAATATCAAAAGACACACTAGAGTTCTATAGAACACTTTTTATTTATAACATTAAAAAAATCTTAGTACATTTAAATTTATTACTTACTGCAGTTCTTACAACAAAAAAAAAACAAAAGATAATTCCAGATTCGAAATACAAACCAATGCAGAGTTTCACAAACGATAAATAATGGAAGCTTGCCACTGACAGTTGCCAAATGAATAGCGCTGTCCCGCTCTAACGCCACGACTCTATCGCACTCTCTGTAGGATGTGAAATTTTAATGTCATTGTCAGTAAGGTGTTGGAGGGTCCTGATAATGCGTTTTATGTGTACTTTTTCTATGTAAATTATTTTGTTAGCTGGACTTATTATTCATTTTCGAAGACAAGTGCTCTGAAATTTTAATTACCAACATTCGTTCATAAATTTAGCAGAATTTTTGACTTTATTAAATATTGTCCAAACAGGGTAGGTTGCGGTTTAGATATAACATCTTAATTTCAAAATTATGTAAGATTTCTTAAGGAAACTTTTGCTCTAAGTTATTTTGTTGTTGTTATATAATCCCTGGGTAAATACAAGTCCGTCAGTTAGATAACGGAAAAATATTTTATACGTATATTTTTTTTTGCTTCAATTTGACAAGAAATGGCTCAGATAATAGGCATCAAAATTGAGGAGTGGGGCTCGCTGCGTCACACTTATGTATGTGGTACAAAAGTATGACGTCATATCACCTTTCAATTTAATGTATCGACGTAATTTATTGATTTTGCATTAATCATCATCATCATCATCATCATCATCATCATCATCATCAGCCGGAAGATGTCCACTGCTGAACATAGGTCTTGCATTAATACGTGTTCAATATTCGTCAGTAAATCTATCTGATGGACAGACAAAAAATTGACATCATCCCTATAAACGTTATAAGATTAGTTTTATTTTGACTTAGACACTATCAGTGAAACAGGACAGTAATCAAATATTAAATATAATATATTATGTTATCAATTTGTATGTTAATTATGAAACTATTTGAACGTTGTACTTATGCCATATAACTTAACATTATCTTGTTTGGAAGTCTTATTTATAAATAAATAATTCTAAAATTGAAAATTTTACTTTAATATTTTTTAGGATAAATCATTCAAAACTACGTGCCAATTCCTAAAATGGCCGCCAAAAAAAAAACATAAAATGGCGCCAAATCTCTAATAAAATAATTTTTGACATTCTAAGCCGTTCCACAGATCATTATTCAAACGCGGAAGTTACGCGCAGCGATCATCTGATATCGTGGTCCATTTTTCATTCATCCCTCTTGAGTTATTGATTCAGATTACCAGCGGATCAGCTAGGATTCACAGTAATAACTTGACTTATGATTGTTTACGTATCTTTGACGTTTTGCACGTTAGGGAGTGATCTGTATTAGAAAAGGTCTCACTTCCGTATGCTACAATTGTTACATGATGCGTACCACCTCTTAATAATAATAGATAAATAATAATAATAGGTCCAAATCACATCCCAAATTTGTATTATGATAATACAAATTGTGTTATAGTAACTAGTACCAAGACAAGGATAAGAAAAAAAGGAAATGTTTTAGTTTATTTTATACTTGGTGTAATTTTTAAACCGGCATGTGAGCCTCTACACCACGAAAGGGCAATAAATGTAAAAGAAGTATTCCATGATTCTTATATGGCTTCCTCATTGCCCCACTTTTATATTATAATTTTATATCATATAATATAACCTCCCAAAGTCTATGTTGAAACCGTAATTACCTTTCGAAGTAAGTTTTATTCGATTGAACCTCTATGGAATTTTAGTGGGTTATTACCGAGGTATTTGCAAAGTTAGGCTACCTACGCGTAACAATTTATGATATTTTTATATCACATAGTCTACTATGGAACTTTGAGTAATATCTTTTCTATTCTGATGACGATGACCCCTCTTTACCTAAATGTGTTATAAATATCGTTAGTAACATTATGTTCCTCCGCAGGTTTGGTTCCAGAACCGACGAGCGAAATGGAAAAAGCGCAAGAAGAGCACCAACGTGTTCCGCTCCCCCGGCGCTCTGCTCCCATCACATGGTCTTCCTCCATTCGGGGCAGGAGACGTCTGCAGTCCAGGCGTGTTCGCTGACCGACCCTGGTCTATGCCCGCGGGTAAAGCTACCATCAATACTAGTTTAAAAATATTGTGCATAACTAATGGACAGACATTTCTCGTGACTCATGAGAGACTCCATTCGTTTTTCAATCGGATTTCGATTTCTCGGAACGCATCGTGTCCTTCAGTGGACATTGTCTCCTGCCTACCCTATTGTGTAAAAGAAATGTGGTTAAAGAGCAATTAATTCTTCCACTTTTTACTATTTATATAATTATCTCATATACTAACCAGCTTTCGGGATGTCTAATCGATATAAGACACTCATCTGAACAGAATATACAAAATCACACTTCTCTTTTTGTTTTTTTTTCATATTTATTAGTAGCGGGAGTGCAAATAGTACAGTATCTACCCTACCTTTTACTATTTACAGGATATTTCGTCTAATTTATATTATGCAATATTATAATAAGTATAATAGCTACTTTAGATCAGAATTGGAATGACGTCAAATATTATTTTATTGATTATGTTAACTTTAAATTTTATTGGCTTTACCCAGGTCTTGGTCAGCTATCACAAGGCGGTGTGTCAATGGGCGGGTTTGGTGCCAGTACCCTCCCGCAGCTAGCAGCCGACCTCAACCCTTCCCTGCCCATCAGCTCAGTGGCGTCTGCGCAGCCGTACCAGGGACATTACCCGCTTAACTCCTTAGGTTGGTCACCGATATATTAGGCTACACAAAATTATATATGGCTGCAGTCATTTTTTTAAATCAAATTTGTATGTGTTGTTTATGTGCATATTCTATACATTTTTGTTTTCTGGCCTCGTTTGGTGTTTATCGTGTATGCTGAATTGCAATCAAATATATTCAGTCAGTTCAGTATGTTTTTGAAACTTTACATTATAATAAGTGTCATCTAAGTAAGTGGCAGATTAAAAAATAATTCAAATATTTACCAAGCGAGACTTCGATAGTTTAATGCTAACTATCTACATTTTTTATGAGTTTAAAGTGTTGTGTAAACATCCTATAAGATTTATGTGCCTAAGTAAAGAATAATCTAACAGAAATATCTTCATTGGCCAATTTTTCACTTGTAGCGTTTCAATGGCAAACAGCAGCATTACAATGGCATAAGTAAACTAAAGTAGATTTTTTCGTAGAAATTAGAAACATTTCGTAGCTAGTTTCTTTAATGTGGATATTGATATGCTGATTGATGATGTTTATTTTCTCAGGAGACACCATGATGTCATATTGCAACAATATAAGCGGACAGCAAGGAGGTGGACCATTAGAGGGTTCCCCTACTCCCCCACACATGGGCCATTGTGTTAATAATAACGCTTCGCCCACTGCATCAGGTAAATAATGAAAAACGTCAAATTTTGTCAAATTGCAATAACATATATCAATAAAATGAAATAACTAATTGACTAGAGTATTGATCAGTTTTTTTACGATGTTTATTAGAAACTTCTGTATCTCATTTGAAGAATTAAGTGTGAATAATGACGGTAGCGGAACTATTTTTTGTATTCTAATATATCTCTGTAACAAATTCAAAGTTTGATTAAGATTATCCAATTAAAATTAAGATCATTTGATGAAAACCGACTAAAATAAGTTCAAATTACATTTTCATGTGCTTACACCGACCAGTAACGGAACATGAGCTATTATTTCAAAATAAAGTTCTGACAATAAGAGATAGCCCAGTGATCATGTCGGCAGAATCGAAAAGCATATCAGTAGGATTTATAGCACCAGGGTTTTCATAAAAAGTGGGTCGTCTTAACCATCACAACTTAAAACACTTTATCGTTTCAATTTCGACTACAGTATACGTACTTACCTCTTTGAAATAAGGTAACGGCGGTGAACAAGTAGAAGAGGAAGTATGGCGCGGCCACAGCATCGCGGCGCTGCGCCGGCGCGCGTCCGAGCTGTCGGCCGCCATCCCGCCGTACCTGCAGCTCAACTACGACGCGCACAGCCCCGTCTACTGACACCGCCACGCCACCGACACGGACCGGCCCGTGTACTGAACACGATAAACTTAATAAAAATAAACAAAACGAGTTTCATTATGCCATCACCTTATAACGGAGATATGTTACGCCATTGTTTTGTTGCGGAGATGTGTTACGCCATTTCGCCGATCGCGGATTTATGCGTAACGACTGTTCCGGTCGTTGCTGTTGTTATGCTGCCCTTGTATTGAGTACAACAAATGATAACAATATAAGGCTGAGGTATGTTATGCTATTACCTTAGTGATGTTGGAATGGCAGAGCTATGTTATGCCATTTCAGTTTTACTCTATACGGTGTTGCATTTTCTACTTTAACAATGTTTTTGTAACGCGAAATTGTGACGGAATAAACTGAATAAGAAATAAAAGCATGTACAAAACATTGCTCTTTTTGTGATCGAGCTTCACAAAATAAATTTGAAAAAAAAAGGAAGTGTGATTAATCACACTAAATAAATTATGCCAAAAAATTAGTTACACCATTTATGTAGGTACGAGTACGCTATATACCTACTTTCAATATTGAGACATCAAAGTGTTACAATATAAATGCAATTGATGATAGAGATATTTTTTTTATTATGTTTACGTGCAGTTTTTCGATACCAAATCTTATTCTTGTTTCTATTATAAGATTGGCTGGGTACGAATTTGACTGTCTAGACGAATGAACCAAAATCCTCTTATGTTTGACTTCTCCATAAAAAGAGGTATTCATAAACAAAAAAGGTCGTCGTACAGAAATTTTAAAAAAGAAAATTTATTACGCTACCTAACTGTAATTCTAAATGAAAACTTTTTGTAACATTTTCGCGCCCAAAGGTGACAATGATAGTATGACTATTTCAAATAGTTTATATTATATATTTAAAAAAATTGAGCTGTATTCGAGAAAATACATGTATACGCATTCGAACAATAATAATATTAATGATTAATAGTAGTCGTAAGCTATTTATTTCATAGGTGATATTATAAAATGATTATATAAAATTAATAAGTAGAAATAAAGATTAAAGTATCCACCACGACCAACTGTGGTATCAAATATTTAGAATAGAATATTTGTTCATAAAAATTTCAAATTTCAGTGTAGAAATAAATTTCTTGTTTCCTTACATTTTAAAATGAATTCCTCTCGTCATTTATGACCGTGAAGAAATGAGTGATTGAATTATTTCTGCCAAAGACAAACATTTACTTGTATTAGTTATAAAAACACTTAACTTATATATTTAAACCTTCCCATAGTTAATGAAGTTGCATTTATCTAAGTATATTCATTTTAGAATGTTGCTTTAACTCCAATATGTAGAATCATTTTTTTGACTACTTAAATCAAAATTATTTTAAAATGTAAGGAATTTAATGTAATGATAACAAAATTGTTTTAAAGATTATCATTATTATCGTGATTTAGATAATAAACAGCCAAAATATTTCTTGGGAGTGAATGGGAAGAACGAGAGTGAGTAGTAATTTCGGCGCCATTTTCTTTTTTTAATTGACAACACGGTTTCATTTGTTAGACTGCCAAGAAATAGCGTTTACTTTGTTATTGGATTTTTCTTGCACTACGTTATCAGTGTATACTTTCGTTTTTTATGTTTTTAAAACAAATTGTATTTTTAAAACAGTATCTAAATGTTGTTCTAATTTATAGAAAAGTCGAATCGAATAAAACTATGTTGTTCTATGCCAAAATTTGTGTTTATTTTCAATAATTTATATAGTTTATGGAACTGATTGTTTATAGTTTATTTATTTAATTACACTTTTTGAAATTTTAGGTCATTATAATGATATCTTACATATAATTGATTATCCATAAAATTAATTGTCCTTCATGCTCCCAATAATTAAGCATCTAATTAAAATCTGATATAATTAGATGTTCATGAATAATCAAAGAAAATGGCGTTCTAATTAATAAAATTGTAATGCATTTGTGAGGTACCTAACTATTCCAAAGCGTTATTCGTGTGTAAATGTGTTGTATAGTTAGGTAATGAAAAATACAAAATTAATTTAATACATTAATTATTCGTTTCAGAAACTTGCGGCCACTACATTTTTATTAATATTTTATTTGCTTAATAATTAGAAGAAAGTGGTTAATAGTTCCTATTTGAGTTCAGATCCCATTTTTGTATACAAAAAATTTTTGTTCCGTCCTTGGATTCTTTTTTTAAATTGGGATCTATAGTTTTTAGTGTGCAGTTTTTTTTTATTTAAGTATCGTAGCGACGGAATTTGTCACATATGAACTAAAGAAAACTCGGAATAGAAACCTTGATTATATTATTTTTAATATTGTAAGTAAAGAACTGAGTGAATATTATTAGCATATAGGGAAGTACATAATTAAGTATTTACTATGATTCGCTCGCCCGTATACCCTACTTTTAATATTAATATAGGTACGCATTATGTTACTTATTTAAGTATTATTATACATACATACAATAAAATAGACAATGTTCAATTCTAGTTGTTTTATTTATTTTCTTTGTTGTTGTGGAATAGCGTAGAACAATCTTAAATGGTAATGATATGTTACATACAAACGGCTTAAGAAAATCGAGATTTAAGAAGACACCCAGTTTCTGAATAGAGAATTTAAAGTTAAGCACTTTGCAAACCATACTTAAACTATTTTAAACGTTTCTTAAAAAGGTATTCGTTGTAAAATATATAAATGTACTGTTGGAAAATGTAAAATATATAAATGTACTGTTGGAAAGTTAATGCAATAACTAAAGTTATTTAAAATAAACTAAAATTAACCCATATTAATGCAAATATTAATTTCCATTGACGCACAATACGAAAACACTGAGTGAAAAGAAAATCAAATACGGTTTAATGACGCCTTTAAGCCCAAATGAATGTCAAAATAGTATCGGTAATGTCGCTTTAAACTAATGAAATTTTTAATGGACCTTTGTGCAACTGGCTGTTAGACTTATAGAGTAAAATTTAACTTCACTAAAATTTGAATTGACTCAGTTTCATTTTTACTGTGCGATGTATACAACTGGATTATATAATACGATTACATGCCGTACGCTGCGAATAACATATGGTTTTTTTTATTAAAATACTATTTTTATTTAGTCGAGCTTCCGAAATTTCTACAGTTACTACTTATACTACCAGCGACATCTATCGCTCTATAGATAAGTCGTTGAGTTTTAAAAAGCTTATTTTTTTTAAGTTCAATGTTATTTTGCTTTTCTCCACTAGATGGCAGAGTTTCCGCAATTATTATTTTGTATTTATTGTACTTTAAGATCACAACAACAAAAAACGAAGATATTAATAAAGTTAAAAAGCAGATAGCTAAGTCAAGGTTTTCACAAATATGAGACATAGTTAAAAGTGAATGTGTAAAACATTACGTATGTAAGTAGGTATACAATTAGAATTCTGACTTGAATGAAATGAAATGAAATGAAAATATCTTTAAACAAGTAAGCTTTTTTTCCCCCACCACTTGTTCAGGACGTCTTTTAGCTGACAAAAAGAACAAGCGAAAGAAACTTACCATCTCTTTATCATAAGTAATGACATTTACAAAATCATGTCATTTATTACTACTATTACTAATTTATTACTTAATGCGTTTCTTATCTAAGATGGACTGATGTTATGGACGAAAAATTGGATGAAAAAAATAATTCATAAGTACCAGGATAAAAGTCAATATTTGCGAGAAACAACTTTGTTATTATGAAAACTTTTTTTTACATGGTTTCCTACTCGACACTAGATGTCACTGTTAATATATTCAAGCATTAAATTACTATCGTAGCAACATGTAATGATTGATCCAACAATTTTAACTAATAGTCGAATGTGGCAGAGTATTTAATTATGTCTTTAAATTCTGAAATATCTTTTGGTGATGAGTGTTCAGAGATTATTAATATAAGTTTATCATTGAGGAGCGCTTCGGAGGACAGTTTAACATGGTTTGTAAGATTACAATTACTTAAACTTGTTTGAAACATTTAATTCTAAAATAAAATAAAAAAAACGAATCATGCACGGTTAAGTTTATTTTTTCAATTAACATAATTATATCACCCTGACAGTGATGAAGAGGATGAAGCGGAGTGTTTAGCTCGTGAGCTGATGAATAAAATGACGCCAGCAGTATTAAGCAAGTTAAGAAGATGCTTTAAGAAAAATCGTGATAAGACTCGAGTTAACAACATAGACAGGTATAAATTTATTGGTATTCAGGAGTATAGCGTCACCTGGCGTCATTTTACAAAAGTTAAACAAAAGGAAAGCTTACAGTATCATTTTATTTATTGTCAATAGACGGCAGTGTTACGTATTTCCTTTCCTATTCATTTACTTAATACAAAATGATTTGATAATAATAGATGATTTTTAGAAAAATAAAGATAGGACAAATGACCTATCTTTATTTTTCTAAATTACAAAAGGATTATATACTTCTATTAGACAAATAAAGTATTTGAAAACTATTATATACCACACCATACCATTATATATTATTAGATTTAATGAGGAAGTATTTAAAAAAAATAAAGAAAGTACAAAAATTTATGTCACTAGATGGCAGCACAAATAGTTGGATCTAAACGTCAATTCATGACGTTAAACCAAAGAGAATAGAATTGTCAGTGATGTTATGGATCTGATAACTCGGATTAATATCGAGTTGAAATTTAATTAGTTTGAGTTATGCAAACGCAGATCGATTAATACGAATTAATCTTTGAATTTATTTTTCTTTTTTATTTGTATAGAGGAAAATGAAAACTAATATAAGGAAGTGAGCACAAAGGTTTTTTTTAATTTATGGAAATCAATTGAATGAATGCTGTGATATAATTAAAAGTGGCATTTAGCTATGGTATACAATAATATTACCGCAAATATATTTTTATAAATAAAATACTTATGCCATAGTAGGTCTAGGAATTTTTCATTTTAATATTTAACAAAAGTTCTGAAAACAATAACAACTAGTAAGTTAGTTTTATTGCTATTAGTTATTTGTTGAACTTACAAAAACAAAACTACATCAAGTCTCAATAATATTTTTATATTATGTATGGTGAATGAATGAATAGGGTTTATTAATAAGCAACAAAAGTCATAAAAACGATAATTATAATAAAAAATCCTTTTATTATCTATATACTTACCCGATATGTATCAAAACGTGACTTCTGGCTAAAATGACGTTTATGCAAAGTGGAGCGTGCAAATAACTTGTGTTTTCGAAATTGAGACTTAAAAAAAACTATGATCAGTTATTAAATCTTATATTGATAATTAAATCATCTTAATAAACATTCAACAATCAACAAGAAACGTCTGTTCTTAACGAATAGCAGGGTTATAACTTTAAATTTCAAAATCACAAAGACACGTACAGT